AGCTGTAGATGAAAATTTCAAAAAATAGCCAAACTCAGAATGGGAAAAAAACCATGTGTTGGAGATCTCTACGATTATTCGAGCGGACATCAAGGGAATCTGAAAAAAAACATAACTATCAGAGAGAGGAAGAAACTTTGCATCGATTGCTTAGAGCATTTGTCTATTTGTATTCTGAATGGTTTTAGCATAGGTTTGAAAAATAGCGAGCCGATCTAATACTTGGAAATCTCAGAATTCGATAACACTTGGTCCACAGGAATTGTTTAACACGCGAATTATGTTTTCCTACCAGTTTACTATTTTCAAAAGGGCTTCTTTGCTTTTACTGTCCGTACAAGGTGATGGTCAAATTAAACAGTTTTCAGTTTGCATACTGGGCTCACTCGACATCGTTTTAACAAACATCATATTATCGCTAACAACACTGTCATTTCGATTACAACCCTTTTCCTCTTTGACCTTTCGATACTCCCCCCCCCCACTCCTCTGATGTGGCGTGCCACAACCCACGCTTGATCTTACTTAAAAAGTGCTCGAGGCTATGAGATTGCGGGTGGAGTACTATATGTCGCCGAATTTGGAAGAGTCCCGCGCGGATTCCCTGCAGGAACGCATGTCCGCGCATGTACAAGGGTGCGTATTTGTCGCAAGTGACCGCGGGGACCGCCTTTCTCGGCGACATATAGTCCCCTACCCTGAGATTGCGAGTCTCATAGCGTTGACTGTCAAATGAGCAGATAACGCTATGAGACTGCCTAAGACGGCTACCCCGTAGACCCTGGCCGTACCGGCTGTGTTTTCATCAAGGCGCGATATGTGCGATAATACAACTGTTACAACTCAATGCATGCCGGGAAATCATACATGTCGGTTGTGCTAGCTGTCCGGCGCAACGAATCACTGGTTGTTTTTTCTAGCCTACTAATCCAGCAATATCGTTTGATTAGTAAAATCTAAAGATATCGCATCAATAGTTTGAAATCACCAGGGGCGCTATCGCTGATATCAGATTGCTTTCCTGGAAGTTTTTATCATATTTTTTGTTATTATAATCTGATTTTTCTAGAAGATGCTTCAAAATTGATGAAAAAATGCCCCAGACTGCATAGTTCTCCTCCTATGATGTATGCCTGCTTTTTACTTGATGAGCTGTCTACTTCAGTTACTGTCGAACTTTACGTGCTCGAAATTTATATAGTGGTTAGTGTCTCTATGGCGTCAATTATCGCTTCTCACAACTTTGCTCGAACACAGTTTTTTGTGAGCCTAATTCTTCATTGCCTTCCTATCTCTCCCCTCCCTTTTTTACCTCATTTGTTTACGTCAACTACCTCAAAGATGCTTGAGGCTCTTAAGACTTTTTTCAAGTCTTATCGAAAGGAGACTCAGCTGATCAGCTGACAAAAGTGAATTCCACTGACGTTCGTAATGTTGTATTCGCTGGTTCCCAATGTGGAACAAAATTTATCGTTGAAAATCCATACGAAAAAAATCGGGATAACTTTACTGCTTGTGATAACGACTCCAAAACGGTAGACATCGTCTTTTCCACATTTGCTGCTCCCTTCTTCTGCGCCTCTTGCCTGCGGGCCATATAGCTAACATGTTGGCAAACTGCAATGACACGTTTGCAACATGCAGCAACATGTTGCAAGACATCTGGCTATCAGCCTTAGCACCAACATGTTGCTGCGCATTGGCCAGGCGTGCCGCAAGTCAGAGACGCAGACAAGGGGTAGCAGCAACTGTGGAAGGGACGATATGTATCCGGAAGTGTATGACTGCATCTAAGCGGTGAAACAGGTGCCGGAACTGGCGATTATCGATTTATTAGACGCGACTTCGTCGCTTTATGAACTCTTCGACGACGAAACCGCGACGATGGAATCGCTGTTGGTATGCCAGGGCTATAGTTCGCACAACGCAAGACACTGCTGTGGATCAAGTGAAAATATCTTCTTATTCTTGCCGCTCATTTCCGGATTAAGGGCAAGTATGTAGGACTTCTCCAAAGTTTGATCCTCGAAGGCCAATAACTAGCATTTGATGGTGAAACCGTTACCGATATAATTAATTTTTCATGTATGGGCTTACGCTCTAATGTTTCTTGCAGTTAGATGTTCATTAATCTTTGCGCTTAATCGACAGGTTTCACCGCTAGATCTGGAAAACAGCTCATATATTTGATTGGGTATATTCAAACAGAAAAATAGCACATTGATGACGAGATTAGCGACAGTGGCATAGCGGGATTGCCACCTTTCTCTTCGGTTAGACTGATGAGCAGAAAGCAAAATTGATTTTAGAAGAAAATCCTACCCAAAATAGTGCTTAGTCATTAAGGTAATTATGTGTCCTTCGTGTTTCCTATAATATAAGGTAAATAAAGATTAAACATGAATAGGCGCCATAAACAAAAGTAAGAGTTCACGAGCAACGACATGTCTGCTTCTTACAAGGGAAGGATAACTGGTGACCGTGGGCTTTCGGAACATGTTATATATCTATCAAATGCTTGCCTTGAAACGCTGACCTCGAAACTGTCTTCTTTAGCTGCAGAACGTTTTTCCGAGAAGAATCAGCGCTCGTAAAAACGTTGACGCAAAAATATTTACACCGACCGAGATCAAACTATCATCCATTGTTCGATAATCGACAGCGCTAACTATAAACCATTCGAGATCTGTGACACCTATTGAAACTACTCTACTCTTGTGCAAACACGTCAGATGAGGGGAAATACGGTTTTTCCGACATATCATTCTGCAGATAACGAATACGGTTTTGAAATCAGCGTTTTAAGGCGAATGTCATGACTTACGTCACATATTGAAAGGCTACGGCACCTAAGTACCCTTTTCCTGTTAGCAAATCATTGAATAAAGCAACAATATCCTGTGTACAGGATAAATTAGGCTGGTTTTATGATGGACGACTTCGTTCAATAAACTACGAAAATTATCAGTAGCAGTATTCTTAGATTTTGCGCGATTCCTATCAATAAGCCCACACTCGCTAGGTGGGCTATGTACAAAGACGATAAGGCTCCCAAAGAATTTACTGAATTTTGCAGCGTTCTAAGACAATTACTTATGACATTAAAGAGGAGGTCACCAAAAGTTTGCATTTGATTAGAGGCCCTAACCGCGCAGAATGCTCTTGCCTCATATTCTGCCACTGTTCCTTGATTCCTCTATGAGCTAAGGCAGTACAGCATGTGCTGTACTTGCTCCGAAATTTTACACTTTGATTCAACGGGACTGATACCCAGAAGGCGACCGTCCGCGCCCGCGATGCAGTCTGCGTCTCTCTCGCTCGCATGCTCTCTGATCATTCTCCAGTCTTCTTTAGGCCTCAAAGCCCCGACTTCCAGGCTTCAATCCCGTTGAATCGTAGCTTATAAAGGTCGAGAACCACGCTTCCATCGCTCTTCTCACTTACAAAGGAAGTCACTTAACTTAGGTCGGGCTTTTGAAATGAGACACAGCGAGTTATGAGCTTTTTAAGTAAGTGTCATTGACATACAACTGAATAGGAAAGAAGGTCTTTCGATGAAAATCTGCCAAAAGGTGGTGGAAAATCAAAGTAACACCAAAATGAGTCATTTGGCTTTGATAGGGTATAATATGCATTTGAACCACTACTTAGATGATAATACCGTAGCATGCCTAAGTCGGCCAACACGCAAAATTTGCTCAGGAAAAAGCTCATAACTCGCTTCAGAGGCTTCGCAGCTAAAGAAAGCAGATTTGAAATCAGCGTTTCAAGCTGATTCCAACCATATGTGTGTCATTTCAAAAGTTCGACCTAAGTCAAGTGACCTCCCTTGTTAGCTGTATAAATTTTTAGATACATATGTGCCATCTGAGATCGTTGTCTGAATTTGTCGATCAACCATAATAGCTCCATCTTGTATGCATGCAACGTTTCCTTGCATATGTTGATATCCTGCCTGCACTGTATTTAACTCAGCTAGCCCTTGTACCATCTCGTGCTTTAAGATCTATATCTATGTATATCCACGCTAGAAAGAAAAAGAACGTTTTATTCCTTGGCTCCAAAATCTATAGCTTTCGTTTTCATTTCTTTTAGAGGCTCTGCTACCTTAAAGGCAGTGTCTCACCAAAGTTGAGGTCGCGCGGATCTTCACATATTCTGTAATAGGGAGCTCTAAATAGGCCATTGCAACAGGTCCCACTCAATTTGACCCTCTCCACGCTGAGAAAAATTCGCTCAAAGTGGTACGCGGAGAGCGAGTTGGTACGCGCGTACGACTCCTTCGGTCTCCTCCCTTACGCGTTTGAACATGACCCTCCACTTGGCATCCACCTCCCCTCTGTTGCTGTCACTGTGGCTGAAGCTGAAGTTGGAAGGTACAACTCGTCCATGTTGCTTCCACGGGGCCTCCAGAAAACAGGTTTTTGGGGACTTCGTGCGATTTTAAGTTCATACAGTGCTAGGCAGAGTCCAACAGGCTTGCAAAATGCAAAAATCTCGGCAACTAAATTTTGGTGAGACGCTGCCTTCAATATAATAACATAGTGAATAACAGCGCATTGCCATATAAGCTGAGTTTTCCATTTTGGTTTATGATTCAGGGGGTCTTCAGAAAAACACCGCATAAATTTATAGTCTTTCCATAAACTCAACGAAAACATCGTAGTGCTGAGGATCTAACCAGTGATACGCAAGTTTATACCAGAATCAAGCGAATTTCTTCAGGATTTCCATGAACCACTGCTCGCGCTTTCTTGAAAGCAATGCTTTAGTATTCTATTCGTCCCAAACATTTTCAGAAAAGATTTGAAGCTATTGTTTTACAAAAAATCTTATTGTTAGCTAAATGTTTGCTTCTCAAATCACAGAGCTTTGAATTTGTATGTCAAAACGAGCTTCATCAGTTAACCTAATATTTAGTAAGCTCATTGCTGATTAGAAAAGAGATGCTTAAATACAAAATAAGGGCCTTTGTGCAATTTTTCTTTCGAAAATTTCAGACTTTGGACGCTCAAGACTACGTAGCCAGTGTAATCAACTACGAGAATTGTTATGGCATGAAGAATGAAGCGGTTCATCATTATTACAGGTACTCATACTTTAACATTTCTACCTTGAATTAGTTAGTCAAAGAAAACAAGCAAGCGAAGTTAGACGGTTATGTACTAGATAAAGCGACATTGGTTTTGGTTAGTACAGGAAGAATACCTGATGTAAATTGGTGGAACCCCTTCAGAGGCTCATTTGAAATCTGTCTTTTATACCCTTGGGAATTTCTTAAGGGAGCTATGATTCGCTTGTAAAATGAGTAGTAATGCCAATGCCAAATCATCAATACAGGGTTTTCTCTCTTTCCCATTCATTACTTTGGTTTGTAAGTTTTGCATGATTTTTTTAGAAATCGTACACCTTTCAATAATGCTGATGGCGAGATTCGGCTTGGTATGCAACTAGACCACACGCCGATAAAAAAAAGACTGAACTCGTAAATATCGACTTTTGGTCTCTAGAAACGCCAAAAGGTCTAACAAGATTTCATTTTATTTTTGAATGTAAATTTATGACTAACTCATTTCAACCTCTGGCATTGTGAGGATAATTGTACTGGTCGGATATGTCTATACTGAATTTGAAATTTTCGAGTTTGTTTGTTCGACATGACTTATGCTATTGTGGTTTGCTCTAGAATATCCTCTAGCAAGTATCAATTAGCTTAACCGTTTCGAAAAGAGGCTGCACATGGTGTATCACTGAATCTGCAATGTCTCCTCTTCCTACAATCGGTATTCTTCCGATATAAGGATGCCATTGTAAAGGAACAAGTCTACCGTATAACTTACCTTCCTGGTCTTGCGCCAGTCTATACCAAGTAGCGACAAACAGTGGGATCACAACTTGGCGCGGCGCTGCGAGCGTCGCTTTCGGCGAAACCATCGCACAATTCATTTTTGAGCTGGCTAAATCCCATTTTCGAGGGAATCCTACTCGTTGCAAGGCGTAGGAAAACACAAGAGCTAACAAGGAAACGAACTAAACCGTTAACCCTCCTTGTGTGATTATTAGTGGGTATGCTGGAAGGATGTGAAAGCAAATTTAGTTACTTTTTAATCCATGGGATTATTCAGCGCGCGCTTATTACAATCATGAATTGGCAAAGTAGTGCGATATTCTGGTACAGTATATGGCCGATGAGATCGAACAAAACTTACATTCTGCCAAAGCTATAGTACATAACCCAGTTAAACGCAGGTAAGGACCCTTTCAGGCACAACCGAGGTCATAATCGTGATCAGGATGCTGAAGAAGCCATCTACACGTTTTCAGCAAACCTGAGATTTAAAATTTTTTACTATATACCCACTTTAACCAGACAGAAATGGATTTTTGTGCGAAAGAAGTTTGATATTGTAACGTAATATTATAATCACTATGTCAGATAACCTTCATGGGCCAAGCTGAGAAAAATCCACGGCTCTGAAATTTTAGGGCCGAGATGTCGGAATGGCCATATAGCCCCACTTTTGTTACAAGATAGGACCTTGATGTCAAATTATGAGCAATATGGAGGCAGGGTCAAGCGTGTTGATGCGATCCTGGACCATTTACGATCCCCTCCCCTTAATGGAACCCATCCGTACGATCCTACCCCCTCCCTTCCCCTCCCCCATCTATCCCCCTTACCTCCCCTGCCCACATTTCTCGCGGTAACCTGCATAAACGAATGTCCATCTCAAAAAACTCCTGCGTGAGAACTTCAGTGAAGTTTCGGAAGCAGAATTTCTAGGCCAGTTGGGTGCGCCCAGCATTTCTAGCACATATACACACCCTCAACAATGTTTGAAATTCTGCAAGTTTACTTTTGAATTTTCAGGCATACTTCAGGCTAGCAAATTCGATTCCCGTATGCGACACAAATTTTTACACGGAGAACAAAACAACAGTCTTGAACTACAAAAGATGTTTTCGACTAAGAAGCCCATTTCTTACCTCTTCCGCAGTTTTTCCTGCAAAAAAAAACCGCTTTAGCGCCGTCCAGAACGACTCAAATACATGCATGAGCACGGTAGTTTGAGAATTCGTAACTAAGGCCAGGAAAAGACTGAGAGGCTGCAAAGAACAGGTTCTGTAGCACAATGCCCAGGTTATTCACAGAAAAAGTTTTAGCCCTTGAGGAGCATTGAGCTCGAAAAAATTTAGATCAGGCTCTTGCAAGTTTAGATGCGATCCTAGAAAGCAAAAACTGGGATTTTTGAGCTTAAAATTTTGTAACTTACCAGAGAAGCTATAAAACAGCTTGAAATTTTTCTGATAAAAACTAGAGGGATGGCATGTATTACAGCAAGTTTGCAGCTAACAAGCTTCAATAGCTCCGGAGAAATTTAGATCAGGCGCAGATACGACCCTCTTTTCTTTTTTGTTACCATACATAAAATCATAAGAAAATTCGCAGTTTATAAAATAACACCAGATTTCGCACAGCAGTAGCAGGACTTATCTAAAGTACATATAAATTGTAAGGGCCGCATAGATGGCATTACAAAAAGATTTACGAATTATTGATTGTCATCATTAATCTACATGTGCGCTTTTGTCGAGTGTGAGTCTTCAGTGAGCCTTCGGAAGCAGGATGTCTACACCAATCGGTACATCCAACATCTTTATCACTCATACATGCCTTTAGTAGCATTTGAGCTCCTGAAAGTGTTTATTTTTTGGATTTTAGTCATGCCAGCAGAGTTCGATCACCGTTTGAGACAATATTTTGCGGGAGAAATATTCCCATAAAAAAAGAACTAAGTCATAATCTTTCAAAAGTGCAGCAAGTGAAGCGAATTTCTACGCTTGCAAATGTGTTCAAATTATTGTTCACTCGTTTTTATTTTATACATTGGTACACGGCATTCCATGAATTTATTGTTAAGAACATGTAATAATTACTTGCTATTTGACTTGCTTTCAATCGTACGGTTTTTTATCCAAACTACCCCCTCTTACGCCCCTCACCGTAGGCCCTCTTTACGACCCCCCGTTGCGACAGTCGCATTGCACGCTTGACCCTGTGTGGAGGCATGCATAAGAGCAATGCACAATACTAGGCTCAAGTTATTCATGAACTTAGCTCGAACGTGTGCAGCGAAGAAGTCGGTCCCCGATGTTCCTCATGTTACACATGGTGTAGCATGCCATTTTGCCGCGTGCGAGTTTGCGGTCCGAAACGTGTTAAACAGCATTGATGCTCTGGCCATCCGAAAGTGTATCTTATGAAGAAGCCTATGACTTACTTCCGAAACGGAATAAGCATCACGTTTTACTAGATGGATATGTTGTCAAGTATTATCGTCTCGTAAGGTCTACTATCACGTTATCAGAAATATCAGCGCTTTTTGTTTGCTTGCTATGGCACCGCAGTCGTCCCAGTAATGCATGAGACTGTCCGTTAGAGCAAAGCAAGCTTCACAAGATGGCGTCCCTGCTTTCGCGCCATGACTGAATCACGTTTGAAGCCTAGTTGAGAATTTCTTTATGCCGAAAAAGTCAAAAAATCAGATTTTCATTCAAATATCTCTACGTATCTCGCACTCGGACACAGAACACTTTATACTATTGGCATCAAAATAACATATATGCAATTGCTATAATTTTTTCATGACTGGAAAATGAGAGAATGGTTGGGCCATTCTTACGTGAGTAATTTTACACTGTCTATGAAAGTATAACGCAAATTTTTGGCCTTCTACAAGGACTGTTATCGAAAAAAATCGATTTAGCACGAAATCCACAAGATGACAGCTGATTTTTCTCAAAACTAGTTTTTTGAAAGGCTAAACCACACTTATGCTTACACAAAAATCTCGTTTTCTTGTTTTTAGTCAAGAAAAATATATAGCAAGTGTTTTTTTTCTCTGTCTTTACAGACACGCAAACAGTCATTTCTGCCTTATTAAACCCATTCCTGCGAAAACCAAAATTTTCCTATATCAACAAGTTCGCCGGTTAAGCGCGCCTATTCAAACCTGCTCCGAAATAACCAAAAGACTTGTTTACATCGGAGAGAAAATAAAACGACACCAAAATGGTGTTAGGATGGGCAATAGAGAGGAACTATATACGAAAAATCATGGAAAAATCATGTGGACTGAAGCAAACTTCTTTTGAAGTTAGGTGGCTTTCAAGCCACGTGGACAGGCACCCGAGGTGACTGTGAACAGAAAAAGTCATAAATTTTTCCTTCCTTCACATTTTTTCCACATGCTTTATATGATTTTTACATTAAACCCCTACACCTAATTTTTGAATTTCCCTAAACCCTCCTTCCCGTTCTAGTTACAGCCCACCAAATATTTTGTATGAAGGTGGCAAGCCTGCTCCAAGCACGCAAGGATGCGTGCCGGACACTGCATGCTGCTTAGGTTTTTTTCGTCTGTTTAATGTTGTTTTATGTTTCGTTTGTTCCATTATTTTTCGTTGTTCATTTTGATCCGCTCATGATTCATAGGTGATGTCCAGTGGCGTACCGAGGGGGGGGGGGGGGCGGGGGGGGGGGGGGGGGCGCGCGCCCCCCCCCCCCCCGAGAATGGGTCGCGAAATTTTTGAAAGTTACTTATATGGGTTGTAAAAATGTGCAAAAGACTTATTTATACTTGTAAGTAATTAAAATAATTTTTAAAATTTTTAAAAAAATCAATTTAGCTTTTTAAAAAAAAATTTTTAGGGGGCGTGGCTGACGCCACGCCCCCTTTTTCTAAAATTTTGAAGTCGGGGACCCGCAAAAGTTTTGAGAAGCACCCCAAAAATTTTTTCGGAGTGCGTGGCTAACGTCACGCACCTTCTTCAGAAAAAAATTTTTGTCGCGCCCCCCCCCCCCCCAGCCGAAATCCTGGGTACGCCACTGGTGATGTCGTATTTGTGTGGCGAAGTCTACGGGGACATCGTTTTTAGAAAAGAAAAAACCACCTCATGCTGAGTCTTGGCGGTTCGGTTGCAATGCTTTAGCAAGCAAAGAAAAAGTACCATTATTTTCTTGACAACTTAGCACATAAAAAAGTTATCAAAAGCGATTTGATTTAAGTCGTATAATTTTCACTTTACAAGCAATCTAGAATTTCTGTTACTTTCATGAAACCTTTGTGTTCCCATCTCTGCTTGTGACTAACTGAAATGATTAGGCCCTTTCACATTCGAATACAAGAAGATGAAGAGCTTTCCGAAAATCATGGTAGTGGGAGATGTCGAGAGTCTTACAATAATATGTTGGACTACCACTCCATTTTTCTACACTCTTATGCAGATAAGCTCATTGCTCATAGTTGAGATTGTTTTGGACTGTAAATTTTCTTAGAGTTTCCAAAGTTTTCCTTCGTATCTCTGACTGAGCTGACGCACGATGACTCTGCAAAACTGTACAAAACTGATTATGATTTGTACAAATACTTTCTCTTCAACAGGAAAGCGGTAGGTTACCGTGCGCAAGTATCTGAGACGTAACGTGTCATTTTTTAGCTCAGCAATTCTTTTATATTTTTTATGGCGGACCATGGACCGAGATTTGGAAACGTGAGCTGCAGTATGAATGTTCTATAACATAACTACCTAGGTGCTTTAGGAGACGAAAACTTCTATCAACTGGAATGAGCAGAAGAATCCCTTTTTATACATTGTACTACCAAAAAACCTGCGCAATTCGCTGATGCATGAGCAACTCAAAGCAAACAGCAAGGAGCTTCTTACCAACCACGATATCCATTCAACGTTGCAGGATATTCTCTATGTAAATTCAATTTGCATTTTCATAAGTTTACAAGACAGCTTTGAAGAAACAACAGCCTTTCTCTACATACTCATATCACATAGCTTTAGAAAACAAAGAAAACTGCTTCTACATTGCTCAGTACGCCCTAACCCCTCGAGTTAAGCAAAACGGCTGTTCTGCACATGCAAAATCATTCTCTTTATCTTGCTCCTTGCCAATGGTTCGCAATTTTTGTTTATTTGAAACTTTTTAATTCTGCTTTGGTCTCACACAGATTTCTCACAAGATGTGGTGTCTAGCTGCTTCTTTACGAATGCGCGAAACTCGGTGGCATGCTTGTGCTACAAAATTTCTAAGAAAAATGGTACAGTGCATTAATGAACTGCTTGAGTGGCACGGTGTAAACACAACGAACAAAACGACTTTTGAGTTGTGATTACTCTTTCCAAAAACCAAGTGGGACGCAAGTATACTTGCATTCATATAGTAATGCAATTTTGAGCATTTTACGCAAATATTAGAATGTGAAGTCTGAGAATTTGTCCGAGATGTATTAATTGTTGTCCGAGATCAATACGGGCTCCTTACGTTACCGCTACAGATATGAAAGTTCTGGAATTATAGCACTCGTTTTAGCAAAGTAAGCTGTACAAGATGACATTTGAACATTGCAAAAGGATTCACATGAGGTTTGGAAGCGAAGTCTAAAAGGTTTCGAAAATCAGAAATTGTTACGTCGAAGCGATTCGGCAAACGTCGTATTGTTAGACAAATCTTTTTCGCCTTCGTCACACCTTGCCGGAGAAGGAAATCGAAATGTGCTTGAGCTCCTTACAGAATGACGCTACGACTTTTGTTATAAACTTGTTTGTAACTTTTCAAAGATTGCAAAGTAGTATGGCATAATTTGGCTTGCGTTTTCTGCAAAAACATTCTTCAGCTTATTTGCAAAAAGAAATTTGGAAGTTCAAATAGGTACTCAAAGTCTTTTATTCGAAGTAATTTTTCTTGCTCTACCCAATTGATTAATCCGATAGTGCCGAGCATGTTTCCGATAAGAACAAAGGATGTGTCGAGGTCATGAAAATTGCGATGTACAACAAGTTGACACCAAGTCAATATTATTAAGGACAGTAGGAACATTTGCGATGAGTCAGGCCGCTTCAATATAGAAATATCCTATTGGATTCTTCGTTGAAGATGGCCCCAACTTGGTAAATATAATCGAGAGCTCTTATTACGAAAAGTTGTTACAATAATCATTATCAGCTTATCGACTTTGTAGATTCTTAGGTTTTTGTTTGAGAGTATCTAAACTTGCTTGCGGCAGGAGATGAACTCAGCCAAATGTGGTGATTGCAAATGGGAGAGCCGTTATCAAAACTAAACCGAAGGTGATTGCAAAAGGAAAAGTTGTTATCAAGACTATCTAAATGACCCATTTTTGGATTTTTTACGGGGGACGCCTAAATGCTAGGGGAAGGAGAGGGGGTATGTTTTCCTTAGGGCCGCATGCACTAACATCCCCGCGGTTTCCTTTCTCCGAAGTTAACGAAAAACTCCAAAGTTGTGCAGATTGTCGAGTGGGGGACTATATGTCGCCGGATTTGGAAGAGTCCCGCGCGGATTCCCTGCAGGAACGCATGTCCGCGCATGTACAAGAGTGCGTATTTGTGGAAAATGACCGCGGGGACCTTTTCGGCGACATATAGTCCTCTACCCCAGATTGTCTAATCCGACAGTGCTAAGCATGTTGCTGTTAAGAACAAATGATGTTTTGAAGTCATGAAATTTTCGATGATCCATAGGTCGAAATTTGAGGTTTACCGAAAAACTCGACTTTTTGAAAACTCAATTGTTCTCAGCAGCCACATGCTTAACACTGTTGTATTAGATGTTCAGTACAATTTTGGAAGGTTTTCGTTAACTTCGGAGAAAGAAAAATGACTTTAAAGAAAATCGCCGGGTATCATCAGGGATCATACAAAAGCTGGAAAATGCGGTTTGCACAGCAAACAAGAACTTTGAAAGATTCCTTCTTTGAGTTATACATTATTATTTCAAAGCGATTGTCTGCTCTCTTACTGAATTGAAGAAATGTTCAATCTGCGTAGCATACGAAATACCAAATACATATTCACAAGCGCTACAGGCACTTCCTACGAAGTTGTCACTGTAGTCGCTTTGATATTTGACAAATTTTGAGATAGCATTAGCAAACATCGAAATGTGCTTGAGCTCCTTACAGAATGACGCTACGATTTTGTTATAAACTTGTTTGTAACTTTTCAAAGATTGCAAAGTAGTATGGCACTAATTTGGCTTGCGTTTTCTGCAAAAACATTCTTCAGCTTATTTGCAAAAAGAAATTTGGAAGTTCAAATAGGTACTCAAAGTCTTTTGTGCATAGTGTTGCTTATAGTTCATCAATGCTCACAAGAGTTTTTCAACACTCAGCAAAGGAACTGATTTCGCACGTAACTCACCACGAAATTTGCACCACTTGGGTTCGCTAACTCAGTGCTCGAACCCACAGGAACTGGGTAACTTGTTTTGTGAATACTACTTGCTATGCTCTACTTTTGGGTTCGCGAACCCACTGGGTTCGTTAGTGAATGCTGGTTAAGTGGGTTTCGTGGGCTCTGGAGCCTACCCTCTGGGTTTTGGAACCTACTAGTTTCATGGACACCGATCTTGTGCTTTGAGCCTACCCAGTGGGTTCCGGAACTTACTGGTGTTGATGAATATGACCACTGTAGTATTAGACGACAACCTGATATAATCGTTTGAGGGTAAATTATATGTGAGTTAAGCTGAATAGTACGTTGGACTGCTCAGTGTAGAAGCATTTTGTCAAGCTTTTCAAAGTACTCTTGCAAGACGATACCAAGCTGGTATGATATGAAAGCATCTTGGCACAAAGGTCTGATTTGGAAGCACAGCGATTCTAGACAAGTATGGAAAACAACATGAATTGCTCGAAATAGGGCCTTACAAATGTATGCGATGTTGTGCTTATCCAAACTTATGGCTTGGGTAAGCACGACGTTGCTTACTTTTAGTGTTCTATGAGTTCTGGATGGTAGGCAGTAGATTTGATCACATGATCTTTTCTATGAATGCTTACACTTAGCTGTGGGAACCCAAGAAAAGCACTAAATTGAAAGTATACTCAAGCTGCAGCTGCAACTTTCTAAATCTTATGCAAAGACTCTCAAATAGCTAATGGTCAACACCTGAAAATAGGGAGGGGGGAGCTTTTTGGCACATGTGATGGTCAGTAGAATCAATCTAAACTGTAAAAGCACCATCGCATTCCATCAAAAATTTTTGGTCTATCACCTTCTGTATAATTTGTAGTCCGGGAACGGCACAAACCTTTGAACTATCTCCAGTGCATAAAGATAAGATAAGTACGTTAAGCTGTACGTCTTTGTAAGTTTACAGGGCAGAATCCACAGTTTAACAACTGATTTTTTTTTATTTTGACAAACATTCAAGTTTCAGTTCCAACCTGCGACGAACTTCACCGAATTGGAATATAAAGATTTCAAGAATGAAAAACGTGGTTCCTCGTTATTGCGACGATTCGAGGCAGGAGTGAAGCGGAGCTGCAAAACACTTCCTATACCATTCCAGTACTGTATCTGCCAATATGAAACATCTGCTGTGACGTCAGTTGTATGCAAAAATATCTGCTATTTTTTAGTTGTTCCTTCTAGTGATCAAGCGCTGAGACGGAAACTTGCTGTATTTGCTGCTGATCGGTTGGCTTCACTTTTGAGTGGTAAAGGAGTGTCATCTTATTGTGAGGATATCAAGCTGGGAGAGGTAATTGTTTTGAGTGCGGGATTTAGGCTGGCCCAATAGGCAGTATTGCGACGCATATTGCATTTTCTCAAAAATCTTTACCTTCTATAGAAATGCTCGATCCTAACTTAGGAAAAAGTTACATAACTCTTGTTAATGCTTCGTTTCTTGTAGCAAAGTTTTGGAGTTGCCTAAAGTAATAGAAGTTTGAGTGAACATTTTCTTCATTAAGCTTTGCACTAAATGTTTGGCGAAAACTCTTAGAATACCATTAATTCTTTCATGATTTTCCCTGATTCATGGATAAACCCTTGAATAAGTAAAAATTTACAATTTTCCAGAAATGGTGCTAATGACCAACCAACTTTACTGAAACTTTAAAGGCACCTTCCACCCTAAGTTGAGAGTGTTGAGCTTCTGGCAGCATATAATAGTAGGGCCCCCTATCAATCCAATCTCCAATTCGCGGCGCAAAATACCGTTTCGGAAGCGAGAAAATCGCTTCGGAATAGCGAAGATGCGCGAGGACCTCCATCCATGCCCGCCCATTTGCGCGCGCCCATCCAATCAACGTTCCGGAAAGTCGGCTTATGGGTTTTCCGGAAAGGGGATTGTCGGGGTTTTCGCGCATTTTCGCTTTTATATTCGAAATCAGGGTCATGAGAAGGTCCTGAAATGACAAAAACCTGGTAGTCAAAAATCTGGGTAGACGGTGCCTTTAAACTCGCCACTGAATAGCAAAGAGCGATTTTCACAAGAATATTTGTTGATATTTGGAGTGTAGAAGGTGCTTCATACAATGTCTCGCCACATCCCACCTCCTTGACTTGACGGGAGAAGGGATTCTTAGTCAAAGTGTCCTTTCCACAAGAGATGCATACCTTTTAAGCGACATCAAACGCTGATTTCAAAACTGTCTTCCGTACCTGCGGAGCGCCTCTGCACCAGGAGTTACGGGAGCTTTTATAGCGAAAATATGAAGGCGTGATTAGAATACAATATTCATATAAGTCTTCTGTGAGCTCAATTGTGCTCCAACTCCGGTAACTGTTTAATCTCTACATGGAGAAAGGATTTTTTGCTTGTCATTGCCGCGCTAGCCACAATTCCAACTGTGAGTCGGCAAGAGTGTCACCGCGATTTTATTCTGATAAAGCCTTCATTTTTGACTCATTAAACACTCAACTCCTCCCAGAGGCTTTCCGCAGGTAAGAGAGACAAATTTGAAATCAACATACAGTGTTTTTAATGCCTTATACATGTCGACTGGAAAAGTCATTTCGACGAAGGATCCTTCTCTATTCAATGAAGAGTAGAACTATATGAGCGGTAGCTCTCTCTCTTTCAGGCCCGTATGCACGTACATCCCCGCTGGGGAGGGGAGGGGATCTGAGAGGGGATGCGTCATAGTTCGCTACTCTACGTATCTTTCTTCTCCTTTCTCTATCTTTCTTCTGAAGTTTTTCATAAACTTATACCTGCGCATAATGTATGCCAGGTTACTTCCATACAAGAGTGGTTTCTTGCCATTTTGTGTGATCCCTTCTAGCTTTCGAACCAGGGATTAATGAAGATTTCGATATCCTGAAATTTCACTTATTTCTACTATAAACATCTTTAGCAGTGCCGTAGTACATCCACAGTACAATTTGACAGCGTTTTCATTGAGTTTTCAGGAAGATAAATGGCACAGAAATTGAGAATTTTTCCCCAGGGCATCATACAAAATAGTAATAATCTAATCAATTATGCCAGTAACCTGGCATAAATTATGTGCAGGTATGAGTATGAGAACCTTCATTAGCAAGATAAAAAGGAAGAAGAAGGTTACGTAGAATAGCAAAATATGACGCATCCCTTCACAAATCCCCTCTCCTCCCCAGCGGAGATGTACGTGCATACGGGCCTTAGAAATTACAGCCACAGGCATTTCTTGTAATATTCCTAATTGTTTTTAATGACACAGTTTCATCAGCTTGCCCTACATCAGTCTTTCCTTTCAGATCGTGAAAGTGAATCAATACACGGCGTCGCTGAAATATGAGAGTCAAGTTTTTGATGTCACATTTAGAGTTGCTCTACCAGCTCACGGGAAGTTTCAGGTGAAGTACCCGTCAAAGGATTGCAGATTTCAAAATTTCTTTTAGATTCCAGTCAGAATGGAACATGGTAAACTTGCCTTAGCAGGAGCCTTGTTTATACGATTGGATCGCTACAGCGATATGGGCAACTGTATGACAGACCGCGTCCTTCGCTCGTACTGCACTTGTAAAGATAGCGTTCACTGATCTCCAAGAAATTCAAATCCTCTGATCAAGTCGCTTCGCACATTAGTAATGCATTTGTTAGTGTTTAGTGTTAGCCGTCATTAGCCTCATCTAACCGCATAACGTAGTCAAGCTATGCACTTTTGGGTATTCCAGTTTTGTCACCTGTTTCGTAAGAGTTCTGATTGCCTTGTTTTTGACCTTGATTACAACACTAATGCACATGATTCAAATCTCGACGAAAATCTAGGAAAGAGAGAGAAATAGTGATGAATCCAAGATGCAGAGGTACTAATCAGTGATTGCAGCTTGAATTGCCGGTGGCTCATGGCACTCAAAAAGTTTGTCCCATGTCTTATTTTACCTAAAGCCTTGCAATGAGATGGTTCAATTAAACACTTATAAGCCTTGGTTTCCTTGTCAGCATCTGTATCAGGTGAAAGAGAAATCGCCTGCAATGACGTGAATCAACAGCAGTTCTTGCTATGTTATCGTCAATGGAACTTACTGCAAAAAAAATCTGAGCTCTTGTGTTTTTTTGAAGAGATGTTGTGAGAACTTTTTTTATGAATCTTGACGTTGAGCTTCTCGTCAATCTATGTGTTCTGAATTTGCTAAATTTGCAATGCATAACAACATGCAGAAATCACTGGAAGCTGCTTTTATTTTCTTGGGAAGGTGAGGAATGAGCGAGACCTGGCGGTCACCATTTGATTCGAGATGCTAGGTGAACTAGAAAGGCAGTAACCCAAAGGTATTTTCACTGTGCGTGAATCAATTTTATCAAAAACCAACAGATAAAAGAAAGGAAACATAAAACTAGGCACAGGCAAATTCGCTGTTTGTGCACTTCCTATACTAATTAAAGGTAGAACCCCTTTTGTATTCGTCTTTGTGATGTGAATGAAGAACATGGCATTAGCAATCAAAGTGAGATTCAGCGGAGGCTGCGCCCATTTGGCTTTTGATTCAGGTTTTTTTCAATGATTACCATTTCGTTCAATGCGTATCTTATATATAAAGCTGAATGTCTGTTTGTCTGTATGTATGTCTGTATGTATGTCTGTATGTATGTCTGTATGTATGTATGTACGTATGTTCCGAATAGAAAATTCCATTTCTGAACCGATCCGGACCAAACTTGGCACACATACACTTCGAGCCCCGGCGGGTGTCAGAGGCTACTTTTCGTCATCGATCGATATCGATTTTATCGATTTTTATCGATTTTTTGCTGAGTTCACCTACGGGGCTGGGAGTTGGCACAGGGGGGTAATCGAGCATGGGGATTCCGAATACAATATTGGTTTTCAGGATTATCGATTACTTTTATCGATTTTATCGATTTTTTTGCAAAGTTTGAGCTACGGGGCTGGGAGTTGGCACAGGGGGGTAATCGAGCATGCAGATTACGAATACAATATTAGTTTTCAGAATTATCGATTACTTTCATTGATTTTATCGATTTTTTGTAAATTTTGACCTGCGGGACTGGGAGTTTGCACAGGGGGTAATCGAGCATGCAGATTACGAATACAATATTAGTTTTATCCCAGCCTCGCATGTCAAAATTTACAAAAAATCGATAAAATCAATAAAAGTAATCGATAATTCTGAAAACTAATATTGTATTCGGAATCCCCATGCTCACTCCCCCCCCTGTGCCAACTCCTAGCCCTGTAGGTGAACTCTGCAAAAAAATCGATAAAAATCGGTAAAATCGACATCGATCGATAACGAAAAGAGGACTGTGACACCCGCCGGGGCCCGAAGTGTATGTGTGCCAAGTTTGGTCCGGATACGGCGGAGCCGGGTAAGCCAGCTAGTTAAGTATAATTTCAACCTTACCCATGTACGTGCTCTCATATTTGAGAAATACCAAGCTTTACATTGAAAACCCGATAGAAGTGGGGTTTTGCATTTGCGGACCATCTTTTTTTTCTCAATTTTCAGCCCCGGAAAAAATCCGCCAAATACATTTTTGGGTACTACTATGAGTCTACTATATAAGGACTAAGTTAAAAATCCGTGGGAATTTTTTGAAAGGAGATCCGATTTTTAGGGTAGCTGAAAAATTTTGATTTTTAGCCCCAAATTTCACCTGAATTACGGCTTAGGTGGATCTTTGGTGGTATTTTTGTAGAGCTTGCTCCGCTCTATCGAATGGAACCCTAAGTCTAACAGGTAAACAAAAACAGCTCAGTTTATTTACAAATGGAGTTTACTTTTGGAACAACCTAATAGTTTCTGTATTGAGCAGTTCTCTGGCTATTAGAAGAATAAGAAGAGACAACAACTCAGAAAACTCACAACGTTCTTCTCTAAGTCTGTCTTTTTTGGCATATCAATGCTCCCTTATGAGAACTGACAAGCATATTAATTAACAGTGAGTAAATAGATAAAATTTCATAGATTGTTTTGCAGCCTGAAAGAGCTCATAGGGTCTTCGGTGCTGAGAGATTTTTGTGACCGAACAAAAAAAGCCGCTTTTCAAAGTCGCTTCAGTACATGTGTGCATGTCTGTTTACGAATTATGAAAATTTTACACCTGATTCGATTGCATCTAATTGCAGAAGGTATTGCTTGTAGAACATTGATAAAAAAATTTAAAGTTCGACAACAGATTTTATAAGCAAGACATCTTCTTCATGAATTTGAAATTGTGCATATACTAGCCAGTTGCACTCTTACTCCGCAGCCAACAGAAGACTCTGAAGGCGACCATGGAGAACTTTTTGCAAGAACATTTCTTAGGTAGGAATGCATCTCGGCCATCTGAGACCTTAGGCCTGCAAATTCATTAGACTGACAATTTTGATACGTTTTAGAAAGAGCAAGAAAAGCGCTTTCTGGATACAGACAATATCGCATTAGAGGTGAAATTCTCGTAGCAGCCGCTTCAAACTTGGAGCAAAAAAATCGGGCAGAACTTATGCAGCAGCCTAATATAGAATATTTGATATGTTGCAACTTTCGTTTGAAAAGCTTTGACTTTTGTTTACACCCATATTGTAAAGCGCAATTATAATTATCTATTTATTTTACCTACACCTTATGCGCCAAAAACATACATGAAATAAATGGTATCTTTGAAAGAAGGTAGCCGATTGAAGAACTTACCTGGAGCAAGCGGGGTATATCATCATCATTATCATCACTAAGTTGTCATCATCCTATCCTCTAGCCTTGCTCTTCCAGATCTTATATCTTCACATTTTTCTAAAGATTCTTCTCACTACTTTCCTCTCTGCTCTTTTTGCAGGTACTCCTCTAGCTGATCGAATCATTTCTAGATCTCTTTCCACCTTTTGTGTATCTTTTTCGTTTTTCCCAATTCATCGGTCAATAATCACGATCATGTCATTACGCTCGGGTAGATCAAGTACCGTTTCTTTTCGTGTAACTAGGAGAAAGCACTTTCTCGTCCCGAATATTCCTCAGAATCGTGAGGATTCTTGTGGTTCGGCTAGCGTGATCATCGATACCATTTTGTAGAAGAATCGTGACTCGACCATATACTAGCCTCAAACTCAAGAATCCCAGGGGAAGTTGATGCCGAGAAAAATGGCCGATTCAACCTAACATTTTGCATTGTCTTCGTGTAAACAATTGCAAAGATTCCGAAAAAAATTATTGAAGATTTTATCGTTGCAGAAGAATTTTTCGAAGAAGTAGTTTCAGCCGTCTCCTTCTTCAAGTCAAGGCTGAAAGCGTTCAGAATATTTGAGAAGCGCTTGCATGCAAAGGTTACTATCTTCCGCCCCATGCTAAAAATTTTTCTCGATTGCTACCGCTATCATGTGTACCAAATGTGTACAAATTGAAAAAAAAACTTAACAAAATCTTATATATAAAGCTGAATGTGGGTGCGTAGCAAGTGGTACCCAGACAGCCGACTACTGCCGCATCCAGCCGCCAGAGCTGCCGGCAAAGCCGCTGCAGATGGTACAATGATTACGCTCGTCGTCTAAAACTCCTGCCGAGAGGTTTTCTCGCACCTGGCCACTCTGAGGTGCGACAAGCCTCAGGAAAGCGTGATATCCTCGATATCAATATCGTTTTAAGCAGCAGAAAATTCAGGATTTTTGAAAACTTGCAAATAAACAAAGGTAAACAGAGGGAAGCTTTTTTTAAGGAAAATGATCATAAAATCAAATCACTTCAAAAACTCAAAGGAAGGAGAAGCTGAAAATTCCTGAAAAATTTTTAAATTTCGAGATTTTTTCTCGTTTGAAAGGACGAGAACAGTTACAGGAAAATGTCATGGATATAACGGTAAGAAAACTGTCAAAATGATTATTTCAAACATACGATATTAAGCGAGCTAAATAGGCAAATTAGGTCAATCAGAATTAAATAGGTGAATGATAAAAGATGAAAATATGTCACCTCTGCTGATATAAAAGGGAACGTAAATTATCAAGAAACATGTAATATCTCTATGTACACAGTTCACTTCTGGGATTTTGAGAAAATAAAAAAATACTATGATAAAGATTCAACTCGTTGCAAAATAATAAAAGTTCAAAATTGAAAGAACCGTTCTGGTAACCCTTCAACAAAACCACAATTCGAATTTTCAAGTGTTCATGGAGAAATAAATTCAATTTCTAAGAATTGCTCATTGAAAAATCAAGGATCCCTAGAACCACAGCGTCAATGGACATTTATTGTACTTTGATTTCAAAATTTGTAACAGAAAAAAACTGTTTAATTTCCTATTCATTCATTTTTGTAATAGTCTGTGGGGTATCACGCTATAATTGACCTACTCAATTTGATTGTCCTACTTTGCCTCACTTAGCTCGCTTAACATTACTATGTATGAAATAATCATTTTGACAGAGTTGTTTTACCGTTATCCATGACATTTTCCTGTACGTTCTCGTCCGCTCTTCAACGTAAAAGCGAGAAAAAATTTAGAAATTCGGGAATTCCTAAATTTTCAACTTTCTTCCTTTGAGTTTTTGAAGTGATTTGATTTTGTGATTATTTTCCTTCAGAAAAACTCTCCTCTTTCTACCTTTGTTTATCTGCATGTTTTCAAAAAACACGAATTTTCTGCTGCTTAAAACGATATTGATATCGAGGATATCACGCTTTCCTGAGGCTGATATCGCACATCAGAGCGGCGAGGTGCGAGACATCCTCTCGGCAGAAGGTTTACGCGACGAGCGTAATTACTGTACCATCAGCAGCGGCTTTGCCGGCAGCTCTGGCTGCTGGCTGGGACAGCAGTCGGCTGCCCGGGTACCACTTGCACGCCTCCCGCTGAATGTCTGTTTGTCTGTCTGTCTGTATGTATGTCTGTCTGTCTGTCTGTCTGTATGTCTGTCTGTACGTATGTTTCGAATAGAAAATTCCATTTCTGAACCGATCGGGACCAAACTTGGCACACATACACTTCGGGCCCCGGCGGGTGTCATAGGCTACTTTTCGTTATCGATCGACGTCGATTTTATC